CTTCGCCGGGCCGGTCGCCCGGCAACGCCCACCCACCTACCGCTTGAGCGCGCCCGCCCGGTGGGTCCCCCCCACAGTCTTTAGGCCAGCGAGCCTCGTTTTCTTACTAGCCTGCATCTCCAGAGCTTTATTGTGCATACAGTTCCAAAGACATTTTTCCAAGATTAGGTAGGGACACAGGTCCCGAGATTTCCACGGAGAGAATAATAATGGTACTTTCCAGCGCTTGAGTGCCTTGATGGTGGGCGCTGTCCCACGGGCTTTGCAGACGTTATCTCGTTTGAGTAGTGCTGACTTCAGCAAGGTAAATATGAAACTGGCTTCTAGACGTGTCGTAGCTTCTCCCAGGTTCAGCGCTGACATTGAAGCTGAGATCCATTCAGCTCCAGACGTACCTGGCTGATCAAGGCAGCACCAAGATACAATAATGTAGTCTGTCTTCACCCGCAAGCCTAAACCCCTGGAAGTCATGTTAGTGAGAGGGATTGAGGGTATTCCTGGAAAATGTCGAGTACATAGTAGGTGTGCAATAAACATCTGTTAATAGTTGTACTTTTCCTGTCTCCTCAGCATCCTTAGTTCACGCAGCATATCTGTCTGTTTTGTAAGGAGGAGTTCTTACTGCTGTTCACAATTCACAGAGCGAGAGTGGCAGAGGGCAAAGAAGGGTTCCCTCCAATTCACATGTGCAGTTTCTGGACTTTCTCCTTAGCCCTTTTCCTTCTCAGTTGTAAAGCCAGGAAGGGCGACGCACCCAGCCAGGCAGCTCAGAGGGGACTGTGGAGAGAGCCCAGGGTAATTCGCCCAGATGAATGGACAATGGGGGACCACAGAACCTCCACACTGCATGGGGGGAATGGTGTCACGAGGTCATCTGTCACTTAGACAAATTCCAATAACTGTTCTTTGAACCCCACAGTACACTCTCACCTTCTGCTCTGGAAGGTGACTGCTTGTCTTACCTTCCCTGCCTGCTCTGGGAGTAGCCCTGGGTGTCTCGGAGTACAGAGGCTTAATGTACTTGTTGCATGAATTCAAAAGCCCTCAAGTTTTTTGGTGGGTATTATGGGTAATGTGTGTGTGTGTGTGTGTGTGTGTGTGTGTGTGTGTGTGTGTGTATGTGGTAAAATATACATAGCATAAAATTTACCATTGTAACCTTTTTTGAGTGTATGATTCCGTGGCATTAAATACATTCACTAGGTTGCTTGACTATCACTACTATCCTTTTCCAGATCTTTTTTATCACCCCCAAACAGAAACTCTATATCCATGGAACAGTAACTCCCTATGCTTCCCTCCCCTAGCCCCTGGTAAGCTCTAAGCCGCTTAGGGCTCTATGCATTTGCCTGTTCTAGGCATTTCATGTAAGTACGATCAGGATCTATTTGTAGTTTACTATCTGGCACAGTGTAATGGTTTCAAGGTTCACTCATGCTGCAGCATGCATCAGGATTTCGTTTTTCTTTATGGCTGAATAATGTTCCCTTGGACGGACCCACCACATTTTGTTTATCCACCATCCATTGCCGGGCACTTGGGTTTCCTGCCTCCTTTTGGCTGTTGCGCACGGTGCACGTTGAAAGCAGGGACCAGAACATACTTGTAAAGCCCTCGACTTGTGATGTACAAAGACAGCAACGCTTTGCCCCTGAGGCCAAGAATGCAGTCCTGTCTTCTCTGCCCCCTCCCCAGTGGGTGCTGGGTTCTCCCTGCCTGGCCTGGCTCTGTGGGAACGTGGAGTTCCTGCTACCGCCGGCGGAGCCGTGCGTGCATCGGGGACCTGGTGGCCACACTACGTCGGGCCTTCCTGTTAACGCTCCTCCCTGTCCTCGGTCCCACCCAGCTCCAGCCAGAACCACGGCACCCTCAGGAAGCATGGGTGACTGGTCCCTGGGCTCTGGGGGCGGTGGCCCAGGAGACACCAGACTGATCCCTACTTGTCTCCCCGTCCCCCCAAGCCCCCCCACCGCCCAGCTCCACAGGCCTCCCAGGAAAGAGTCCGCCTTTTTACTCTTACACATGGAGGTGACTGAGCAGCCACTTTATGAATTACTTTGACGGCTCTGCTCCTTCTCCCGGAGGAGACTCCCACTCGGCAGTCCCACTCTCTTCCTCCTTTCTGGGAACAGACACAGTGGTGCTCCCATCCTGGAGGAGGAGCAGGCACGCACGGGAATCCCCCACCCAGGGCCACCAGGGAAGCCTGCTGAGGGGTGCAGTGGGGGCCGTGGGGGCTGCGGCTGTGACAGCCTTGAGCCCTGAGGGCAGCCCTCAGAAGCTCCCAACTCCCACAACTGAAACAGGTGATAAGGGCTGCCCACCCTTGGGACTTGGGACGAGGGGGACACTGCCGGAGGCAACCCAGGCTTCTTGCCTGCCCCCCACCCTTGAACAAAATCTCCTTGAACAGTGTCCTGGTCACTGTAGGGTGACAGGTGGTGGGTGTGTTTGCAGGAGACGGTGGTGGAGGGAAAGGAAGGTACAGCGTTTAACAGCCAGGACAGCCAGACCCACGGGACCTGCCTCTGGCTCGGTCTGCCCAAGAGGCCCAGGGGCTGGAGAGGGGCTGCGCTGGCTCTGGCACACAAGTCTCCCCGTCTGTTCTAGTGTCTCCTGGCCGGCTCCCAACACAGGCCCGGACACTTGTCCCCAGAACAGCAGCTCAGCCTTGCTTGGGCCACAGCGGAGGAAGCCACCAGCTTGGCGGGCTCTCCTGGAGAGCAATGGTGTGATTAAGCCAAGTCTGGGGTGTCCTGCCAGTCCTTGGGGATCACAGTGACCACTGCTCCTTCCTGCTCTCAGCCCCCTCCTCAGGACAGACCTGGGGACTCTGGAGGCTCCCCCACGGTGCAGCAGACCCCAACAGGGTGCTGCAGGCAGAGGTCCCAGGCCTGCCTGCCCCAAGGGCCCCTTCCCAGGCCTGCTCTGGACTCAAGTTCAAGCACATCCAACGGCTCCCGAGTGGTGGCCTCCTCAGGACCCCGCAGTCCTCTCTCTCACTTCATCCATGCTTCTCCAGGCCACCTCTGGCCTTTTGTCTACATCAGGCGCCCCCACGGGCAGGCTCGCCTGTGAACCCTGGGAGATAGATACTTTCTTTCCTGATGTACGACATTCCTCTCTGCCAAGCCTTTCAGGAGCCGGGCCTCCTGGGGCCTCGTGACGTGTTTCTACTTCATGGTGGACACTGACCCTTGCCTCCCCTCACACCCCTAGATGTGGCGGGCACCAAGTCCCCTCATCTTCGTTCCTCAAATGGTGAGACTGGCCTAGACTTGAGGAGAGCCGCTCAGCCCTGGGGCATGCATGTGGCCCGCGGGACAATGTCTTCCCCAGGACCGGGTCCTGGGCCCTGTGCAGTCACAGGATGGAGTGATTGCCGCTGCTTGCTGCACGCCTTGAGGAACTCACGGGCCAGGACTCACACCTCGGGTGGGCCCTGCAGGCTGGCACCGAGTCCTGGCCACCCTGTGGGCACTCATCTATCCAGTCTCCAGATCCCAATGCCCTGAGGCCAGGGCTCTCCCACCCGCCACCCTCACTGCCTGCCCGGGCCCAGCCAGGATTCCCCAGCTCCCTACAGGGGCCAAGGGGCAGTCTTGCCCTTGGTTGCCCTGTTGCACCTTTCTGGTTTTCCTTTTTGTAAGTCTCTTCTCTCCCCCCTTAGATCTGAAACACCAGATCCTTGTTCCCAAGGTGCCCCCTCTGCCCACCCCACAGCTTCCACACCAGGTTCTGAAGGGGCCCAAGGGAAAGACTTGGAAACCTCCTTTAGTCTGGAGCTTGCCTGACCCCCATCACAAGCACGCGTGCACGCACACACGCGCGCACACACACAGCTGGCCTGACTTCCATCACGCGCGTGCACACACACACAGCTGGCCTGAACCCGCCACCACACACACAGCTGGCCTGACTCCCCCCCACACACACACAGCTCACCTGACCCCCCAACACAGCTCGTTTGAACCCCCACCACACAGACACAGCTCGCCTGACCCCCCCACCACACACAGCTCGTTTGACCCCCCACCACACACACAGCTCCCCTGACCCCCCCACACACACAGGGAGACCCACCACTTTGCCCACTCTCTCTTCCTGTGTGCCCACCAAACCCCTACAGACGCCTAGCCCGCCCCCACACGCAGGAGCACTGGGTGTTTCCATCTCCCAGGCTCTGGACAGGGGCCTCGTCTTCCTGTCTCCATACTCAGCGAGTGTTTGTTCATCCAGCAAGCAAGCACTCCTGGCCCCAGCATGGCTGCAGCTGCTTCCCTCATCCTGCTGGCTTACCTGGGGTGCCTCCCTCACTGGGAACACTCCGTCCCCATCTGGCCTGGTGAGACATCTGCCCCAAGGGAGCACAGGGGGTGGGAGATTGTTGCCCCCCGCCCCCAAACCACACACAAACAGCAGGGCATACTAAGCCCAGCCCCTTGGGACCAGCTTCCGGGCAAGTTCCAGCTGCAGACACCCTCTGGGGCAGGCGGAAGGCTACCGGTACACCTGGAGGAGAGTTAAAAGCCAGGGCATTGAGAGCTGGGAAAGTTTATTGAACCTAAAGGTCAGTAGGAAGTGATGGCTTCAACGCGGGAGGGGAGCCAGTGGTCTCCCCCAGTGGAAGGTGGGGAGGGGGCAGACGTTGGAGTGCCCTCCTCATTGGCTGAGCCTTCAGCGGGGCCTTGACCTTTAGGATCAGGAAGGGTCCAAGCCCCCAGCTGGCTGACACTGTGGAGGAGAGAAGACCCCCCCCCAGGTCTCCTGAACTCAGACGCAGGTAGTCCTGTCTCAGATTCAGGTGGACGAGGGAAGCTGAGGTCAGAGAAAACCATCCCCTCTCTGGGCTGGGCGGAACTTGGGGTCTGTTATAGAATGAATTGTGCCCCCCCAAAATATGTGTTGGAATCCTAACCCCTATGGTGCGGTGGTTAAGAATTCGGCTGCTAACCGAAAACTCAGCAGTTTGAATCCACCAGTCGCTCCTTGGAAACTCTATGAGGCAGGACAGTTCTACTCTGTTCTCTAGGGTCGCTATGAGTCAGGTTTGACTGGGCTATGGGTTTCTCGTTTTGCTTTTTTATACCTGTGCAAATAAGCTCACTCGAGAAGAGAATTTTCTTTGTTACGTTAATCAGGCCATATTGGTGTAAGGTGGATTAAGCCAATCACTTTTGAGATAAGAAAAACGCAGATCAGGCACACAAGCAGGAAGCACAGACGGGGGAAGACGGATGCCGCATCTTACGAAAATGGCCAAGGAACCTTGGAACGGAAGCTGAAAAGAGACAAGATCCTTCCCCAGAGCCAGCAGAGAGCGAGCCTTCCCCTAGAGCTGCTACCTTGAATTTGAACTCCTAGCCTCCTGAACTGTGAAAAAAGAAATGCCTGTTTGTTAAAGCCCGGCGCTGCGGTATTTCCGTGACAGCAGCACCAGGAGACTAGCGCTGGGGCCACGGAGATTTCCCGCAAAAGTGATGTGCCCCCTCCCTGGCACGACCCTGCCTCTGGCCTCTCTCGGTAGCTAGTCCCGAGCTGACTAGGGTGATAGGCAGTGGTACTGTGGAGATAGCGCTGTGCGGCCTGGGGTGAGAGACGCCGGGGCAGGACCTGAGCCCTAGGGAGAAGGTGGGGAGCAGGCCGGCGGGCAGCATCACTCCTTCTTGCCGGCTGGGGCCAGGCTGCGGGGGACCAGCTTGGCGCGGCTGGAAGGGGACAACGAGTTCCCCACAGGGGAGTCCAGCTTCACCTTGTCCAGGACGGTCTTCTTGATGGCGGCAGGCGAGACCTTCTCCCGGTCGGCCATGGACTGCAGCTCCCTACGGGGGCACAGGGAGGTTTGGCCAGCAGGACTCCAGCTCCACCAGGGAGGAGGGCACCAATCCAAGGCTGCCAGCGCCAGTCAACCCGGCTGATGCTAAGCCAGCACCGCCACCTCAGGGCTTTTGCACGTGCCTGCCCCTGGCCACCCTGCCCGAGACAGCTGCACAGCTCACCCTCACTTTGTGCAAACTGGCTCAGGGTCACCAACTCTGGGCACAGCACCTAGCCCCCAGGTCCTCCGAGCCCTCATCCCCCAACTATGTGTTGATGCCGCCGTGTCTGTCTCCCCAAGGTTGGGACTGAGGGCCCAGCGCGGGGCCGAGTGCGCACCGTGTGCGGATGCAGGAGGCCTCCACAGCATTGATGAGCAGGGAGCGGAAGCCGCCACTCTCCAACACGTGCAGGGCATGGATGGTGGCACCGCCGGGGGAGCAGACGTTGTCCTTGAGTTGGCCTGGGTGCTGCTCTGAGTCCAGGAGCATCTTGGCCGCCCCCTGTGGCCAGAGGGAGGGGCTGACAGGGCTGTGGGGGGCAGCACCCGCTGACCCCACCTGAGCACCCCAATGCACAGTGCCCCTGCCAGAAAACCAGGGAGAACACTGACCAGCAGGGCCTGGGCACCGAGGTGGACTGCCAGGCGCCGCGGAAGCCCCATCTTTACGCCGCCATCAGCCAAGGCATCCAGCGCGGTGAATGCCTGCAGGGAGAAGACACCTGAGCCGCTGCCCAGGGCTCTCCTCTGGGAACGCCTGGCCTGCAGCTCTGCCCAACGCAGCCAGAGCAGGAGGAGACCAGTTCCCACTGTGACATCCCCCACCCCAGGCCTCCGAGGACAGGTAGGGCAGATGTGCCCGAGGTCCTGGGAACTGGTCCCCGACCCTGTGTACTCACGTAGGCGGGGCCGCTGCCACTGAGCCCGGTGACAGCGTCGATCAGGTCCTCCTCCACCTCCGTGCAGAAGCCCACACTGCCCATGAGCTGCTCCAGCAGCCGGCCGTCCTCCACCTTGGCATGGGTGCCCATGGCGTACACAGTGGCGCCCTCCCGCACCACCACAGGCGTGTTGGTCATGCAGCGAATGACTTTTGGGGCCAGGTGGAAGGCCATCAGCTTCTAGAGAGGAAACGGGCCACGCATCTGTCCCTGGCCTCGTCCCAGCCTGGTGGGCGAGCACAGTGGGAGCCCCACGCCCCGCCAAACCCCCTGTGCTCTGACCTTCTCGATGGAGCTGATGGTGACGCCAGCAGCACAGGACACGAGGATGTGCCGGTCCTCGATATCAGCGCCGACCTCGTCCAGGATGAAGGGGATGATGTGTGGCTTCACGGCCAAGAAAAGCACATCGCTGTGCTGTACCGTCTCCTTGTTGTGGGGTGTCAGGTTCACTCCCATCTTCTGCAAGGAGCGCAGGTGGGCTCAGCCTGCCCCAGGGGCTGAGGGCCCCACCCAGACTCACCCCTACAGGGACCCACCACCTTCGCACCCCCATTCAAGAGTGGAGGAAGCTCCTCTGGAAGGTGTTCCTTTGGCAGAGGAGACGAGCACTCCATGCCTGGCCACCACCCCAACCTCAGGCTGCAGCCCCTGACGTCTCCTCTCCAGGTGTGAGGGAGAGATGATTGGTGGTCTCAGGCTGGGAGCCTGTCCCTACCCCTGGGTCTGCAACCCTGACTTAGCCATGGTAAACCTCACTTGGCCCCCACGCTGTGGCCCCACCTGCCTGGCTCCCAGAGGCCTCCCAGTGGTGACCCCTGCTTGAACTGTAACCTCACAGAGGGCCCCCACCCAGACCAACACTCCCTGCCAACCAGCTGCATGCCAGCTAGTCACTCAGACTCTGAGAGTAAAGGAAGGGGAACCATGAGCAGGGTCCTGGACAGGGAGTGGGCAGGCCAGTCGGCCAGACCCCCAGCCAGAATCACTCCTATCACTGGGCTCCGCTAGAGTCTCTACTCCTAATCCTCTACAGTCAGGGCCATCCCCCAACCCCCTGACATACTGACACCCTACAGGAACTCAGCCCCCACCCCCACACACACACAGCTGCCTACCCTGAGGGCTGAGACCGTGGTCAATTCCATGTCTGGGGAGCTGGCCATTATCTTGTGGGCAGCCACGATGCCTGCGGGGGAGAGTTCTTCCCTCAAGGCCAGGCCAGGCCCTTCCTCCACGGAAGGAGAGGTCAAATCTCAAGTCAGGAGGAGCACCTGCCCGATCCCAAAGCGACTGAAGCCCGTTTCCACCAGAACTCAGATGAGGGCTTGCTCTCTAGACCCCAGTGTCATCCCAGCCCTGCTGAGGTGACTGTGCCCGCCCTGGCCGGGGACCTACCCGCTGCCGTGAAGCCCTTGGCCAGGGCGAAGGCTAGTTGGCCAGCCCCGATGAAACCCACGCTCATAGTGTCAAGGCCCGCGGCTGGCTCAGCTGTGGACGGGATGTGGCAGGACCACGGGGTCAGGTGGGCAATGCCAGGCAGCCACTCGGCCGGCGCGGGCAGCCCTGCCCCTACCCCATCCCAGCGGGCTATCTGTCCCCTTTGTTGCCCGGCAGCACCCCCGACCTGCTCCCAGGGTCCTGAGCAGCGGGGAGGGGCCGCAGACCTCTGGAAGGGGTCGCCCTCCCGGAAAGGGTTGGGGCGGCTCCCGAATCGAGCCCGTCGCCCAGGACTCCGGGAGCAGACTCCTCTCCCCGGCCCGGCCCCCTGGCGCCCTCC